TTTAGAAATTAATAAGGCAAAAAGAAGTCAAAGGTTTTATATTTAATGAACCAAGTTTATAAAATATAAACTTTAACTTTTTGTTAAAAGAGAAAAAGAATTAATATAATTCAAAATGTAACTTATTATTTCATACCATATGAATTATATATAATGTTATTTGCTAATAAAAATTATTATTTCCTAGAAATAAATAATTTCCAATTTAATTATAAGAGTTTATTAAATATTTATTTAAACCAATTTCTAATAAATAATCAATTATATCAAGTTGTTAATGTGACCCATTTGTATCATATGTTAATTAGCAATATCACTTTAATATGATTATTGAGAATACTAGATCTTTCATGGAGTACGTATGCTTTCTCTTGGTTGTGTGTGTTGTAATCTTTAATCTCTTTGTAAATGTTATCCTTTGTTGTGATGACTGTTTATGATATGTATATATTTTCTTGTTTGGTGTCGATCTCATATTCTTTATGGTGATGACTATTAATGATATATATTGGCATCTATGGAATCAAGACATTACTATTCAAATCTTGATTATTTTTATATTTGAAAAAAGCTTCCAAACAACCCTTTTAGTCAATACAAATTTGTTTTTACATGGCATAATAAAGGAAAGTATTTTGCTATGTTGATTTGTAAAAACTAAATGAGAAATTGAAAAACTAGAACTATGAAAATACATAATGTTATAAAATAATATGTTGCAAGAAAATCAGAAGGGTAAAATGGTCATTCTTATCATTCAGTCCATCCAGTCAGACGCGTAATCAAACAGCCTGGTTGTAGTCATATGTAGATTCAGTTATCACTTCAGACCCAATCATGACTTTTACTTAGTCAGCCCTGAATCGGTCAACAACTATCAAACAACCCCTAAGTCTTATACTTGTTTGTATCGACTCTTAATGATAAAATGACACTTTAGGGATGAGAAAAAGGATTTCAATGAAAGATGTTTTAAAAGACTTTGAGATCTATTAATTATGTTGATTCCACAGCAAGGTAAGTTCATTGGCAAGAACATATGCCCCTTAATAGACTATACTTTGATGTCTTTTAGTAATTTATCTTATAATTTATATAAGTATTTTATTTAAAATACTATATGTAAAACATGTTGAATTCGTGAAATGAACTTTACAAAAAAATATCAATAATTTCCTTATTAAATTTTCTCTTTAAAAAAAATCAGTAATTTGGTGATCAGCATAAGCATGTGCATTCACTTAGGATGAATTGATGACTTGTGTCACCAACTATGACTCAGGTTCCTATGGGGATGTTATGATGAGGTGACAACATTCTAGAAATCACTTACTTGTACATGAGGCTAGCTACCTCTCGTGTGGTTTATGTATGAAGGGCACACATTACTAACATTTGGAATCGATGTGTGTATAGAGTGTTATGTGCAACCTTTACACAGTCTATTTAACATCTTTAATGAAGTGTAAGGTAATTTAGACTTGATATTAGGGATAAGTTTTATAACCGAAAAATCGATATGAAACCGTAACTTGTTGCAACAGATTAGGTATTCGGTCCAGTTCCCCCAATTCATCATTTTTTGGTTTGGGTTCTTTCGGTTTCGGCCCAGTTCCAGTCGAACTTAGGTTGGTTTCGGTGCCGAACACCTTTTTAGATAGCATACTTCATAATTGAACCAAACCGGAACCGATTAGTGGTATTCAGTCTGGTTTCCGATTCCCCATTCACTCCTTAATCGGTTTTTGATTCTTTCGATTCTGGTTCGGTCCGGGTCGGTTTCCGACTGATTTACATCCCTACTTGATATGACTTGTGTTGGGATTTAGAAGCATACACATTGCATCCTAAAAGTTGTTGATTTAATCTTGATGATTTGATGATGTTTTATAATGCCTATATTTAAATGTTTCTTTCCCTAGGTGATGATTATTTACTTTTCTTTTGATGATTTTGAAAATGTTTTTGGGGTTTACGTTGTATAACAAATATGTCGATCCCTTATATTTAACCAATGTTGAACCTCAATAAAGCTTACTTGGTTCCCAAGCCCAACCTACATATTTTGACATGTGCCCAGATTAGACACTTTAGTTGAAGGCTAAAGACCAATATAACTTCGGATATTTAGAAGATGTTGTATTCAGAATTCAAATTGTATGTAGGGTTGTTTACTTTACCTCTGTCTCTTGATTATTTTGTTATATATGCTTTGACACTTTAAACAATTTTAATTGTTAAGAACTTGATTGTTAACCAATATCCAACTTAAAAAATTCTAAATAACATAAAGTAAAATAGTGTAATGCCTTTGGGTCTCTAATATGTTATGTTTGCAGACGTCTAATATTTGAAGACAATGTACTAAGTCAAGACTTTGAATTAAATCACATATGAAACATTTGAAGGGAGCTACAAATTCATAAAAACTTATTCGACTCGATTCCTTTTATCCATTAAGCAAAACAACTGGGGTTTTTAAGACAAACCAATGACATAGTGTGTTCGTTGACCATACCAATACCATGAGTTGGACAATGGCCAAATGTTTGTTGTCCCTGCTCACTCATAATTCAAATTTGATGAAAAGTAGTTCAAAATATTCAAAATCTTTTAGAGACGCAAATAAGATATCATCGACATTGAGTAAGACAACAAAATACTTGCATTATCAATGTGAATGAATTGAAAAAAAAAAAAAGACATGTGACAATAACGAGCATCGAAGATCTCCTTTGAAAGAAAGGGATGTGTAAAAGATGAGGTTGACAAGTGAAAAGGATATACAAGAATTTGAGGTTGAGGTTAAGGTTCAAAGGTGTCACTTTTTGTAAGAAACCTATTAGAAAAATGTTGAAAAAATTTGGAGGCAGGTTTTCCATATTTAGGTTGTGTTATATTTGCATATGTATTTCACATGCAACATAAAAATAACAGTAAAAACAATATATCTACTAGTTATTTGTAATCTTTCGACCACAATTTCATATTTAACAATCATGTCTCCTACATTCTTAAAAGTTCATCAATTCATTCTTAATTAATCCAGATAAAAAATTATGGTTTTATTGTTGTGGTGAAAGGTATTCACGAGCATATCGATTAAAAAACTGAAAGAAAACAAAATGAAATGAAATTGTGATGAAATGTGTTCACGAGTATATCAATTAAAAAGCTAAAACACCTAATGAAAAGCATGTGGCAATGACTCTTAGGTGATATTATGACATTATAGGGATGAAAAAAGGGTATCGAGAAAGATGTTTTAAAGGATTTTGACATGTATTAATTATGTTGATTCCATATCAAGGTGAGTTCATTACCAAGAACATATGTTCCTTAACATACTATACTTCGATTGTTTTTTTTTTAGTAATTTATCTTATGATGTGAGTAATTTATTTGAAATACAATATGTAAAACATGTTGCATTTATGAAATGAACTTTATAACTTTTTTTAGAAATGGGGATAATATTAGTGTTTTAAAATCAATCTTTCGGTCATAGCATGAGCATTCACTTAGGATGAGTTAATGACTTGTGTAATCAACCGTGACTAAAGTATCCAATGAGGATGTTATGATGATGTGACAACATTCTAGACATGGCTCACTTGCATGCGAGGCTAGCTACCTCTCATGTGGTTTATGTGTGATGAGCACATATTACTAACATTTGGAGTCCATGTGTGTGTTGAGTGTTATGTGCTAATTTTGCACACACTATTCAACATCCTTAATGATGTGTGGGGTAATTTGGACTTGTTATGACTTTGAGTCGGGATTTAGAAGCATATACATCCTAAAAGTTGTTGATTTAACCTTGATGATTTGATGATATCTTGTACAACCTACATTTAAATGCTTCTTTTCCCCGATGATGATCATTTAGTTTTCTTTTGATGATTTTGAAAATGTTTTTGGGGTTTACATGGTATAACTAATGTGTCGAGTTCTCCTATTTGATCCCAAATAGATGAAAAGTAGTTCAAATTTTCCAAAATCTTTTAGAGACACAAATTAGATACCATCGGCATTGAGTAAGACAACAAAGTACTTGCATTATCAACGTGGGCGAATTGAAAAAAGACACGTGACAATAACGAGTACCGAAGAAATAGCCGATCTCCTTTGAGAAGCAACGGGTGTGTACAAGATGAGGTTGGCAAGTGAAAAGGATCTCCAGGAATATGAGGTTGAGATTCAAATGTGTCTCACTTTTTGTAAAAAACCAATCCGAAAAAGGTGAAGGAAAATTGGAAGCAGGTTTGCCATAATTGGGTTGTGTTATATCATGCATATGTATTACATGCATAATAATTTTAATAATAGTAATAATATATCCTCTAGTTATTTATAATATTTCAACCACAATTACATATTGAACAATTGTGGCTCCTACATTCCTAAAAGTTCATCAGTTTAACATAATTACTTTTATATTAATCCGTTTCAATTGATTGCTTAATTAATCCAAATAAATATTTATGGTTTTTATATATGGTTACTTGTGAAAGAAAACAAAATGAAATGAAATTGTGGTGAAAGGTGTTCACGAGTATATCGATTAAAAAGCTGAAACAGCAAATGAAAAGCATGTGGCAATGAATACCGAACTAACCTGGAGATTTTTTGCTTTCTGGAATGAATAATCATTGATCCGCCCACTGTTTTCATCCAAAACTTCACCTAAACTCATGCCATTTAACAATCCCATCGATACCCGTTTGTACTACATTTAGACATATCTCAATCCCATACTCCACCAACACTTACACTCCTCCTCCGCCTCCAGTTATCGGCTGCCGTCAGCCACCTGTCACCATCATATTCTTCCCCCTTGCCCCTTAAATGTATATTTATCCACTTCCTTCCCCTTCACGACAACCTCCGCCGATACATTACTAATACCCACTTCTTCACTTCACCTTAATTCTATCAATTTACAAACTATGGAGTCATGTAACATTTGCCATCGATTATTTATCATACCAGTAGCGATGTTACCACTCGCCGCAGCTCAGTCTTTTAGAGGTTCTTCTTCTTCGGCGTACCCTTACGAGATCGGGGGAACCGTTAGTTCGCCTGTGAAGATAATACTAGCAGTACTCATCTTCGGCATATTCTTAATCGCGTTTTTTTCGTTGTACCTCCGTAAGTGCTTAAATGACTCTGTCGAATCACGCCGGCCTGTTGCGATCGCTAACAATCACCGCACGCGATTGAAATTCCCCTGCGGTCTTGATAGATCGATTGTTGAGTCGTTTCCGGTGTTCCTTTACTCCGATGTGAAAGTGCTGAAAATAGGAAAGGGAGCTTTAGAATGTGCTGTGTGTATAATGGAGTTTGCAGACGACGAAAGGCTTCGATTCTTACCGAAATGTCATCACGTCTTTCATCCTGATTGTATCGACGCTTGGTTAGCTTCTCATACGACGTGTCCAGTTTGCCGAGCTGACCTCACTAAAGCAAACCTCGAAGGTAACTTGGAATTTAATCACGTGTTGGCTCACTCCCAAATCGATGAATCTAGAGCAGAAATTGGATCTCAAGATCATCTAATTCACATAGATGATGAACGAGTGGCTCCGAAGTTTCCGCGTTCGCACTCCACCGGTCATTCATTGGTTCCACTGGGAGAGAATTGTGAGCGATACACATTGAGATTCCCGGAGGAGGTTCGAAAGCAGATTGTGACACTGAAAAGAGCGAAAAGTTGTGGATGCGGCGTTGATTTTCCGATGGAAGGAAGTTCAAGAAGAGGATTGAGAGGTGGTGGAGGAGTTCACGGCGGAGTAAAGCGGTGGAATCCGGATAGGCTATGTGGCAGGTCGGATCTCTGGAACTTCACTGTCACACGGATGCCGGTTTTTATTGCGAAAAGCGGTTCGCTTGGCAAAAGTGATCCGGCTCAATCGTCATCATCAACCTCTGATCCAGTTTAAATCTGTTTGTTTTTTTTTTTTTTTTTTTTTTTTTTTTTTTTTTTTTTTGCCTTCAAATCGGATAAGTTTCGTATATTTTGATAGGTTAAAATTCTGACAAATTTGCCTAAAGAAACCTCCATTTGAGAAGTTATGAGGTAAAGATGTTTAGCAATAAGCTTTGATCTTTTTTTTTCTATTTTATAGGTTTTTAAAACTAAAATTAAAAAGAAAAATCTTTTATATTTTATGAGGAAAAGACAAAAAATAACTACTTATTATAATCACTTTTCATAAAATAGTAAAAAAATAAGAATTTTTAAATTTGAACCACAAATCATAGGTGAGGGTTAGAGGGTTTGAAGACTGTGGTTTTATTATTTTGATTGTGATTTTAATCTCTGTATAAAAAATTGGCTATTTTTCCAAAATCATAGAGGACATATGCCATTTACGATTTCCTCTCTCATCATCTACGATTTCATGAATTTTTTTTATTGTATTGGCTGATGGTTGATCATTATAACTTTCCAGGTATAGACAACACTATTCATGATGCTTACATGCTTATTATGTTTAAAGTGTATTCGAAATTAACTTAGTACGGATTTGTAGTCCAAATATCAACCTACACAAAAATAAAAGATAAAAATCATGAAAGTCTCACACAGAGAGAGAATAGACGGCTATATACCATCTGCGATTTCGTATCCGAGAAAATGATTATTTTTATATCAAAATTAAAATAGCTGTCAACACAACCAAATAACAATCAAGATAAATAAATCACATGCACTTAGCCCTTGCTTGCGATTTCGTCGGTTAAAATTGAAGAACTCTTAATTTTTAACTATTCTGTGGAAAATATTAGGAAAAATAGTTATTTTTGTATTTTTCTCTTATTTTAAACAAAAAGCTTTTAATTCAAAGTTACTTCAATTAAATTTAGATCTTTTAGTTGTACATATTTTCAAAAATTTATATTATTTTACACAATCAAGTTAATGAAATCCTAGGCTTCTAGCCCTCTTCTCCCATTTTGTTGGTTAAAATTGAAAAAAATTAATTTTTAGCTATTTTGTGGAAAATGATTAAAAAAATTAGGTTTTTGTCATTTTCTCTTATTTTAAATAAAAAGATTTTAATACAAAGTTACTTGAATTAGATTTAGTGTTTTAGTTTTTATATTTTATGTTATTTTACATATTTTTTTAAGTTTGCATTTATCTTATCAAACATCTCTATACAAATAAAAATATGATTTTCAATTTTCAACCATTAACTAATTTTGTCAAATATATTATTTGTTTTTCTTGGATGTAATTTAACTCATTTAGAAGTTAAAAGTTTAATAAATCAACTTATCTACACTTATCAACATATTATCCATCTCACGAATTAACTAATTTAAATATAAAATATGTTTTTCATGTCCTTTTCAAATTTCAACATCTATGTACTCTTATATTACTATTTTAAAACTTATGGCTGTAGTCTTGTTATTGCTAGTAAGATAAAAACGTATAAACAAAATCTTAAGATTTAAATCTATAAAATGACCATAGTTGTTTTGAAAACATGTGATTTACCTCTCCATAATAAGTATAGAATATGACTTTTACTAATTACAATTTTACAATAATAAGTATAAAATATGACTTTTACTCGTTACAATATTACATTATCACTTTTAAACCCACTTTCCTCATGCACGGTGTTGCACTTACAACCCACCCCACTTCCACGATCTCCTTGTCTCTTTTTTCATGCTTTTCTTATGATAGATTCTGTTTATTTATTTTTTATTTTTTTCAACTAATGATTCAGCCTCATAACGAATAATGAACATTTTAAATGTGACTATTTGCTTTAAAGAAAATTTTAGATCTTTTTATCGACAATCATTTAGAGATATGTAATATGAATAATATTTTGGAAATAATTATGTCTTTTTGTATGCTATAGACAAATATATTAAAAGATAAGGTAAAAAATGTCAGAGTCAATCTTAAGATTAATTGGGTAATAAATTGACTTTGCATAAGGCTATCCGGAGTGGAGCCGTTATCGACGGTGTTATGCACATTATCGACATGAACACTACACTAAGGGTGACGTGGTGGGCTTTGGTTTGAACCATGACGTACCATGTCTCTCTCTCTCTCTCTCTCTCTCTCTCTCTCTCAAATGTACAACACATAATACATAGAGTACAAATATAGTAAGGTGATGTGGAGTATTGTGCATCCGATGATTGACTATAGGTAGTCTAAGGTATTTTAGTTCTTTTATAACTACCTATGTATGAATCCGAAGTTTTGACTTCATCCCATTTTTTGGACTCCTTCACAGTACTACAAAACTATAAAGATTTAAAATGCATGTCGATAAAGTTCTAGAGCTTTGTTCATTATCGTTGCATCGTTTGCACCCTTTTTCCGATTGCACTTCACGTTCACTCTATGACAACTTTGTTGGTGTTCCTCCACTTCAAGTAAATTTGAACTTTTTTTTTCGGTACTCTCTGCGCTTCATTTTGGAGAGAAAACGCCTAGTAACTTTTCAGTAAAAAGTAGACCTATCTTGGTCGTTCCCGACTTTTGGGTCTTCCAAAATGTCAACCCATACACATGTCAATGCCCTCTCTTCCTCCGGAGTCCAAGGAATACTCAGTATCATTCCTTTTTTCTTGGGTTCTAGTTGAGGTTGATCATCATCAGATCAGATCAGAATCGGTTTCGGTTTCGGGTATGATATGGTGTTGGGGTTAGGATTGGATTTCGAATTGGGCTTGAAATTTGGAATTGGGTTTCTTAAACGGTCTTGAATGAGTTGAAATCATTTTGGGATTTGAATTAGGGTTGAGATTGGCTATGATATGGATTGTAGTATGGACCAGCATCGATAATGGAAGGTAGGGGTAAAAAATAAAGCTACCCATTTGAGGTTGGTAGAAGATGGGTGACGAGGGGTTTGAAATAGTTATATTTTGGGTATTTTTCTTGTAGCTTTTTTTGTTTGTATGGAGATTTGGAGGAAACCATTTTCACCAAAATAAGAAGAATGATTTAGAGGAATAAAAAGAATATTGAAGGTTGTGGTATGGTATAAAATTGGATAGGTATTGATATTTATATTGGTTGAAAGAGGGTTAAAAATTTAAATTTGGTTCAAAAAACGTATAGTTTTTTGAAGGTGAGTAAAAAGTTAAATAGTCTGGCAATTTGAATTCTCTTTCTCTCTCCTATGTTAGCCATTACCGAGTTCATGTGACAAACCTGACATGTTAAGGTCGGAGAGTGGTATGCGCCGAGGCTACCTTAGCTATTGCCGAGGAGTTGTCGAGCCACTCCAGGTAGCCTTAGAATACTAATAAGTGTTGAGTATTTTTATGTTGATGTGTGTTGTAATTCTAGTTTGTTACTCAATTTCTATGCAATCTTGTTGGTATCTTTATGTTTATGTAAAGATGTATGTGTGTAGTCACAAACTTGACGAATTGTTACTACTGACGGTATTTAATACGATCTTAATTTTATGAAACATTATGTAACGACCCAAAAATCAAGAGTAAAAATTTCATTTTTAGTATAGCTAAAACATTGATACCATTTATCTCAAACATTTCAAATCATCCATAAGTAAAACATTTATCAGAGTTTATCCCAAAATCATTCATTGTGGAAATCATAGGTGTCTGCACCGCGATCAATCCGAGCCCTTCCTTCCCAAAACGATGATACGTGAAACCATAAACAAACCTGTAAGCACGAAGCTTAGTGAGTTTCCTAGAGCATATCCCACACAATCCACATAACACATATCATATTAGCTATAAAGCTACACATACCACATAAGCCATGCATACATAAACCTGTAAGGATGTTGTGGGCTCCCCCCCCCCCCAGGGTCTTATACCATAGTGTCATGGGCTACCCCACATGGTCTTTACCTAGGAATGTCATGGGCTACCCCACATGGTCTTACATCCAATGTCATGGGCTACCCCACATGGTCTTTACCTAGGAATGCCATGGGCTACCCCACATGGTCTTTACCTAGGAATGCCATGGGCTACCCTACATGGTCTTACATCCAATGGCATGGGCTACCCCACATGGTCTTTACCTAGGAATGTCATGGGCTACCCCACATGGTCTTACATACAATGCCACGGGCTCCCCCCGGGGTCTTCCCTGCCAATATCATAAATAATCAAATAACATATCATGTATCACAAAAGTATCTACACATAACACGTACGTAAACCTGTAAGGATGTCGTGGGCTCCCCCCCCCCCCAAGGTCTTATACCATAGTTCCATGCAAGTATCACAAAGACAACTAGCATACCACATATGACATAATCACTAGCATACCACTTAGCATAAAGCTAACTATCATACCACATATCTCTACTACAGCTAGTGCACCACACAACATAAAATGGACCGACATTGGTGCCTTAGACCCATTGGTATGGTGAGAAGACTCACCTCGCACTGCAGAAGCTTCCCGCATGAATTCCTTAGCTGCTTCCCCGCCAGCTTCCCGAGCTGTCACTACCAAACAATATACCCAATTAACAATTGGGTCCCATACCAAAATCATTAATCCATGCATGGGGTAAAATGACCATTCTACCCCTGGCCCAGTACGATCCAAAACTAAGGCCCAATCCCAAAACAAAAGCCCAACACTAGGTAGGCTTTCCAAGCCCACTAATGGCCCAATTTGCCAAATTAGGCCCAACCCCTCCAATGGGCCTTACCTTAAGCCCAAACATCTGACTCCTGATGATCCACTAAGGCCCAAAGGCCCAAAGTCCATTGCCTGGCCCAACCCGAGGCCCAAAACACTCCAAGCCCATAACTGATGAGTACGCGGGGCGTACTCCCTTGTACGCTAAGCGTACTGGATGAGGGTGGTGTACGTTGCGCGTACCTGCATGTACGCCCAGCGTACTCCTCTATTAAGCCACTTTTCCATTAAGTGCTTAATACTCTACTCCATAAGCTACAT